TCCCCCCCCCCCCCCCCCCCTTTGTATCTTTCTGCCATTCTCTTCTCTCTCCCTCCCTCCCCCCCCCCCTCTCTCTCTCTCGATCTATTTATCTGTCTCTATCTCTGTCTCTGTTCCAACTTTAGAGTACCGATCGAGGCAGAGGTAGTTTCGCTGTCGGATGTGTGTAGTCATGTTGCTATTACAGTGTTATCGGCAATGTGTTTTGCGCCTTTAGTCTTTTCAGCTCCACCGACGGTGCGTCACTGTTACAGTATGCCTCCAAAAGACCCGGTACCACCTTCGTACAACAGTTTCCCATGCATGGTATTTCTGGATAGTTCCCCCGCCAGGCAGGTGTAGAGGCGAAGTAAGTGGGCCACTAGTGCTAAATTAATCCTTGTAGGCCATATAGACCAGACCCAAGGGAGCGTGCACGTGCGGCTCTTGAGGTCCCACCGACCGCCGCGGTTCAACATCATGTGTGAAGGCGTGTTGAAAATCACACAATTGTAAATCACACAACGGTCTGGACGTCCCTCTTTCCCCCCCCCCTCCCGCCCCAATAGCCTTCGCGAGGGTATTTAACTTGGTTTTAGTAGGGGATGCTAGATGGGGTTGGGGGTTAGTGATAGGGATACGAAACCCTCCTCTCTATTTCGTAGATTAACAACAAACTCCTCGCGGAGGCGGTCGTCCCGCCCTCGGCGGTCGTCCCGCCCTCCCGCCTATCTCTCGTCCACAGCAATCACAACAACAACAACCGGCCGTCCCCCTGCCCCCCACCTACCCACCCATCTCGTGTCCACACCGCCAACATCTACCCCCCACCCCCCGCGCGCCTCGGCGCCTATCTCTCGTCCACAACGGTGCCCCTTCACGCCAGACCTCGAGTCTTGCCGCAAGGTGTCGGCGATGGCGGGGTACGGGGGGGCGGACTTGCTGCTGTCGACGGAGTGGGGCAGGGGCATGGAGGTAGACCTGCCGGAGCGATGCTTCCAGGAGCTCTCTGCGGCGAGCGTCGCGCCGGCGGCGGTGGGGAGCGAAGCCGTGGCCAAGCTGGCCGTGGCCGTGAAGCCTAGGTAAGGGTTTTAAGGTTTGCTCGCGCTGGCGTGTTGATGAGTGCTCTTGGCGTAGATGTTGCTTGGTGACAGGAGGCGGAGGGGGGGAAAGCTTTTTGTTGGAACCACCACTGGGGTTCTCCTGGCATTTGGTGCATG